TTTTTATTAGGTCCAGATATTATGATCAGAAGAGGTTGTTTTTACTTCAGGGAGTTTTATTTAAACACTTTGTATTGACTTAGAGACAAGAAAAGAGAGAGTTGGGATCATTTAAGAATCTTTAATTTCTATAATTATAAATTCAAACAATCATCCAGGACTAACTCTCTATGACGGATGCATATGGATTTGAATGTTGAAGTGTTGGTGTGCGTGTGTGTGTGTGTGTGTGTGTGTTCAGAATCTCCAGGCTGAGGCAGGCGGATCTGGGTGTCAGATGTTTTGACTAGGAACCACGAGGCTTCAGAAGCTCATGACATGAAGCGCCATCCTGCCGAGTCTACGTACCGTGTGGAGTCTCCCGCGGTCAGATCAGGAATGTCAGGTCCTCGGACCTCCTTGGTACTGGACTGATGAAACAGTGTTGCAGCACGACAAAACCCGTCTACGGATAGCTCCGGCAGTAGTGGCAGGTCTCAGCACGTTCAGCTTTTATTTTGAAGGAACCGTCGTCTTGTTGTTCAAACAACAGAATTTCCAGCTTGACAGTTCTCAGCTTAAAAGTAGAAAAACACAGCTGGCCAGTCTGTAATCTCCTTTAGCGATGATGATTTGAGAGCTGGTTGAAACTACGTTGAGTCTATGATGTAACTCCGTTGGAGCCGAGATGGAACTCAGATGGAACTGAAGTTAAAATGGCGTTGCTCTGTTTTATTAACTTAGTTGTTTATAATTCTTAGCCAATCGGAGTGGACAGATTAAATAAACACTCCAGATTCTGCCCTGCAACAGAACGGAAGATCTGATTGGATGAGAACAATGTGTCATGCGTTCTTATGTGGATCAGTACGTCTGGCATAGTTAGTCCTGTTATTCAATAAACACATAAATCATGACATTTTGATTTCACAGATCAGTCACCTGATTATTATTGACTAACATTTGTTTTGATTAGCTTTATTAGAAATAAAGTTCTTTGATTAATTAATGAAAAGCGTTCTTCGTCCTTCTTCTGTCTTCTTTCCTGGAATGTAAGCATTAGAAAGAAGCACCCGACCTTGGCGATTCCTGCACACTGTTACTGTGTGAAGGGGCAGCTGTTAAGGGCAGACAATAGGATCTTCATAACGCGTTTAACCCGCGAGCTCTCTTCCAACCAGGATCGCTCCAACAAAAGTGGTCCAGTGAGGTCGCCAAATAACGGGAATTGCAACACCACGCGTGATTTTGTACGTTCACATGATGACAAGCAAGAGGAAAAACAGCAGCTTGTATCCAAAAAGGTCTTTGGTTTATTTCTGTTTACCTCATCTACGAAAGTTTCACAGGAACCTGACATACTTTTGTACTATTTGAGCAACTATAAACTTACACATGGCTTTTATTTTGAAAGTTTGCAGATGTTTTACACTGCTTTCATGTTTGATTTCCTGTCTGTCCCGATCTCAGCTGCTTGATGTCTTCTAGAAGCGTAGCGTGTAAAAATCGACTCGAACAAAAGCAACGCTTCCCTCTACAACGTTCCTCTGTTGCTACACCAACACGTTTCCATAGGAACATCCCCTTAAAGCCGCAAGTCACGTGCGAGGCTTTAGGAGAAACAGCCGAAGGAAGAACAAGCTCTGGTCAGAAAACTTCATCATCAGTAGTGAGGCATGCACTGAAAAATTCAGCAGGATCAACTTAATCTGAATCTCTGTTAATCCTGGTCTATGAATTTGGGCTGGGCATCGTTTGAGTTTGAACGGTTCCGATTCCATGTTTCAGTTCTGAATTCTATATGTTCCTGATTGGATTCTGAGGCAGGGTCCACAAACATTACACGTCATGAACGAGCCAGCCAACCACGGCTCGTACTTGGTGAACTGATCTGAACTTCAACGTGACGTTTAATTCCATGAACTACAACATCACCTTCTTTTAGACAAAAACATGTTTTTTAGAAAGGAAAAAAAGACCTTCAGCGCATTCAGTGTGTTTGTTTCTGACCACAGCTGAAGAAGCTTCTAGAATGAGAGACTAGATGTCTTCAGAAACGTCCAGCTGCTTTCTGCCAATACTCTCAGGGTGATCATGTCCAGGATGACTGAGGGTCACCGCCTACACGCTGCCGCAGCGAGTGCAACGAACAAACCCGAGTGAAGCCAAACGGCACAGGAGTGGAGGCTCAGAACCAGAGTCGGTGCGTCTCTGTCTGTAGCTGATCTCAGACCGTTAAAGTCAGCCTGAGGAGAAAGCTGCTGGCCGTGTGGACCCGTGTAACTCTTCTTCATTAGGTGGTCAAACCGGATCAGCTGATCTATGACATGATCACATGATCTCTTTGTTTTGGACAACGCCATGTCTGTTTGAGGTTTTCAGCGCGGTACTACATGTATTGTTCAACAATAGATCAGATAAACTGGTCTGATTCAGTATGATGCAGACCCACTCAGCTGGTCGGGGATCAGAACCAGAACCAGCCCAGACTCCCCACAGGGACGCACGCTCACACACAGGAGAATGCGGGCGTCTCTTCCTGTTCACATGCAGGAATGTTGGTGTGACTGGGTTTGTGAACTTTTGGCTTTTTAAGTGAAAGCCACAGCTTTTCTTTTACTGTTTTTGGAATTTAACCTTTTGTTGTTCACATTTTTCAAATTTTTGATTTCCGCCATGAAAGCCTTTATCTGCGCTGAGATAACTTTATAGCTCAGAGGTTTGTAATCCATATCCCACAGATACGGTTTTATTTACTTGTTAAACTTTGAGATAACTGGTCCACACCAGTCAGCAGATAAAGCACACCAGCATACAACCCAGAACCCAAACAACAAAAATCTGGCTAAAACCTCAGCTGCTTGTTTCTTACGACAAATAGGAAGCACTTTTCATCACCTCTGTGCAGTCGGCCCGTTTTGCCGCTCCGACCCAAACAGGAATGCCATTGTGTGGTCTGGAGGGCGAGGCAAAGTGTTTGTGTGACATTCTCCACAGCAGCGCCACATGTTCCGCACATGAGCGCATCGCCAGCCCCAGATACAGAAAACAGAACCAAGAACACAGAAAAGGCAGCTTTTAACACAGAAACCCAGAATGGTTCTGGCTCTCTGGTCCTGCTCAGGCTTCTTGAATGGTGCGTTTGGTCTGTCAGCGAGGCCGCCCTGAGGGGCTGAACCACGAGGAACCCAGATGACGGCGGGAAACACTGTGAGGCCTGAGCAGCAGAACAGAGCGTGCTCTGATCCTCCGATTCTCCACCGCTCAGAGTTTGGATCAGCTGCAGAAATGTTTGGTCCATCTGTTGTCTGTTTGCTCTGACCTGACCTCTGACCTCAGAAGACTGTGTGGGGGGGCCAGAGTTGTTTTCAGTTTATTTGTTGCTGTTGGATGAAAAACGAATTCCTAAACATTCAGTCGGGTAGAAATTCTGAAAGATGTTCAATCTGGAAGATCAGAAACTGTGAAAAGAAAAAATAATTTCTTCTGCAACATGAAGGATTATGGTTAGAGCTGGGACAGGCAGTCCTGGTCCTCGAGGGTTGCTATCCATTATGTTTTAGTTGTTTTGCTGCTCCGACACTCCTAACTCATCAACAAAACTACTTAGAACATGCTGCTTCCCTATGGCACACCTCGTTCCCTCTGGTACTCCTGGTTCCCTATAATACACCTAGTGCCTGCTGGTACACCTGCTTCCTTTGAATACACTTGGGTCCCTATGGCACACCTGGTTTTCACTGGCACACCCGATTCCTTTTAGCGAACCTGGTTCCCTTTAATGCACTTGGTTTCTTCTGATCTTCACCATTGCTCCTGGTAATCTGCTTCTCCGAATGCACTAGTAGAGGTTAAAGCTTTTCCTGGTGGACCTTACATCTGAGGTCAAAGGTCATGTTCCTGAAGTTGCTATGAGACATGGGAGACACAGTGTCATCCTGAAATGGTGACCTTTCGCCTCAGCAGGAATTTTGCCGAGTGACAACACACACGCGAAAACCATTTTTGTGTGGTTGTTTTTACAGATGTATATTTGTTCCGGGTATTGTCTGAGAGTTGTGACCTTTGACCCTCTGCTTCTCTGTCAGCTCAGCAATGCAGGAAGTGATGCTCTGAGAACAACAAATTAGTTTCCTGCCACACGTTCTTTCCAAAACTTCCAGGTTTGTTAAGCTGCTGTGTGTGTGTGTGTGTGTGTGTGTGTGTGTGTGTGTGTGTGTGTGTGTGTGTGTGTGTGTGTGTGATGAGCAATCTGATGAATCAGGAAGTGTTGGTGGGACTCAGACAGGAAGAGGTTCTAATATTAGAGTTTAGAGTTTCTCAGGATGTTTGGATATCTGTGAGTGAGAGATGAGCTCAGAGAGCACACACACACGCACGCACGCACGCACACACACACACACACACACACACACACACACACACACACACACACACACTCCACCCTATTTCCTCCATCCCCTCAGCACGCATACCTAGAATCAGAAATAACTTTTACAGGATTTAGTTCTCATTTTTCTGAACTTCTCGTAGTTTTCTGATCAGAATCTGTTATCTTTGGAAATCTGATTTATTCTTGGCTTTCTATAGGATTGGAATGTTTTAGTTTAAACTATTTCATGATGCAGTGGCTTCGTTCTGCCAATCGTGTAGGTGTTTTTAATCCCTCTGAGCCTGCACTGGAGTTAAAGCATCAGATTGCATCAAAGTTCATCTAAAATGTTGGAGCTCACTTGTTTCTGTTGCACTTTGATTTAGTTAAAAATGTTTCTGTAGCAACAGTTCAAATCAAACTTCCTTCTCCAGTGTGAACAGAAAGTCTGTTTCTCCTCCTTTCCTGCCCTCCTACTGCTCCGCCCCTTATGTTAATGAGTCCATGACATCATGTCTAATTGGAGCTCTGTGATTGGTCACCAGGAGGACTAGCCACTCCCTCCTGCAGCCCCTCCCCCTTGGGGCTCGCTGCATCTGAAAGATGTTTTCAGTGTCTGAGCTGCTGCTGCTGCTCACCGGAGGACAAACCCACGCTTTCATTCTCCACCTCCCCCCTGCCCTGCACTCTTCCTCTTCTTCCTCCTCCTCAGCCAGGGTGTCTGTGTTTGTGTCTGTTCTATTGGACGATGGCTGTGTGACTGATTGGGGGAAGGTGTGATCTCTCAGGACATTGATGGATGAATGGGTGAAGGAAGACGGAGGCGTGATGGTGAGGTCGGGGTGCGTGTGCTGAGCCAGCAGAAGCAGAAACTTCTCTCTCCTCCATCGTTCAGTCCTGCTGTGGTGCTCAGAGAACATCATTTCATTTACACTCAGGGTTTCATATTTACACCTTTTACAGCCAAGTTCTGTTTTATCCTGGATTTAAGTTTTGGGTGAAACGCTCTGGTGCTACTGAGGATTGGGGAAAATTCTCCTGGAGTTTGTCCTTCATGCCTCTCTGGACCTGTCCCTTGTGAGTTCTCCATCCTCTCTGGAGTTTCATCATGGAGCTTCAGAGTGCTACCAGCTCCCTCCCCGGATCCATCTCACCCCTGTCCCCGAGCTCGGACTATGCCGGTGCCTTATCCCCATCCTCGGGTGGCCCTGGACCTTCTCACTCTGCCAGCCCGGGTCGGGGCCTGAGTCCCAGCCCCAGCCCCATGAGAAGGTCCAGTCCAGACCCCGGGTTCTCCAGTCAGGCTGCCTTCAACTACAACCAGCTGGAGGGCCGATTCAAGCAGCTTCAAGGTAAGAATGTGTAAAAGGAGGGGAGGGATGCTCTCCGTTGGAGGTTCTGATCCTAGAATGAACTCCAGATGTTTACAGCTGGAGTCTGGCTGAAGTTTTCTGGTTATTAAAGCTGACTTCAGGTTCAGATCTGGTCTGATCACTTCACATCAGAGCTTCAGTGTGAGTCAGCAGCTTTTTCTGTGCAGTCTCTGGGTTTGTGAGCCGCGCCTTGCCTCCGTCCCACACCGACAAAGCTGCCGAGTGCTGAGGAAGGAGTTTCACTCTGACCTGCATACCTTCACTCCTCCTCCTCTTCCTCACCACGCAGCACTCGGCAGCTCATTAGGTCTCAGCTTCTTATCGGACGATTGTGTCAAACTTCTGACTCACTTTATGTTTCTGATCTGAAAAGCAAAAAGCAAAGTTTTAAAGTTTTAACTTCCCGCTCCGATCTCCTGGAGCTGATGGAGGGAAAGCACTGAGGCTGACATTCACGGAGACCAGATTCCAGAAGCTCCAACAAACAGGCGATTGTAGCTTATTAACTTGGACAACGGGACGTGGTTTTACAATCGTCTGTTTGTACGAAGAAAGTTTATCTGAGATTTTCTGTAACCATGACGACCGTGCTAATCTGCTGGTCAGTCTGTCAGAGATCAGCATGAGTCTGAAGTTTAACCCGTTACCCCATCACCTCTGCTTGTAAAGCATAGTTACCGGGTCCTGCGTGTTCACCAGTGATGAACGCTATTCTGACCTTTAGCTTGTTTGGATCAACTTGTCTCATAAAGTAAAACAGTGGAGGTAAAATAAAAGGTGACGAGTTTGATTCAGGAACCAAATCAAACACGATCCAACGTAGAAAATTCCCTTTTTTCTATATTAAATATGTTTGCAGCCGTTCTGGTGTGTTGGGACCAAACGGGGGATCTGGGGCTGCGGTTAGCTGTGTGTGTGTGTGTGTGTGTGTGTGTGTGTGTGTGTGTGTGTGTGTGTGTGTGTGTGTGTGTGTGTGTGTGTGTGTGTGTGTGTTGTAGTTTCTGCTAGGCACATCTGTAATGATCAGTTATCAGCCATAATGTAGTGGCCCATACCAGAAGGGACAGTTCCACGTGGTGCCTTTGCTGCATCTGTGCTGTTTGGCTTCACTCAGGCTTTGTTGGTGTTTCTTGTTAAATCGTTTACTAAGTTCCAGTGTGTGTGTTTGTGTTTCTGGTTTATGGAGCGGCGCGCTGCTTCCATCCGTATGTTTGGGTTATTTCTGACGCCGTAGTCCTCATGCATGAAGATGAGCTCAGCCTGCAGTCGCTGAATCAGCTGTTTTTAGTCCTGTAGAGCACATCCGACCAGAGATGGTTTAAAACTGTAAAATTTACCATCAGGCTGAAATTAGACGAAGGTTAATGCCGGATCAACCCTCAGACCGCTTCAGAACCGTTGGGCTGGGCTCTGAAAGTGACCTGCTGGCTATGGTCCAGCTAGAGGTGGTTTGTGTGTCTGAGCTGAAAGCTGCGGAGGTTTTTACTAGAAATGATGAATCAGTGGGGCAGACTTTTCTAAATTCAGGTCCTGACTGTTTGCTTAAGGAATGATGTTTGTTTCTCAGGTTAGAGTTTTTATAAACTTCTCAGACAGCTTGACGCAAATGAGAGATGAATCTGTCAGGATGTACAGATCTTGACGTTCCCGTGAAGCCGATCCTGGGCCTGAAGACCGATGAACGGGTGAGGGGGTTGGTTTTATGAGACGCTGTAAATCCCTCCAGAGCCTCAGAGCAGCACCTTGCCTCTGAAATAGGCTGCTGGTTCCATTCCCAGTGGGATGATGAATATGGAAGCAGTCAGCGAATATTACAGATTTCGGCAGGTCGTCGTCTCACGAGGACCACTGAGCGAAGCGTCCGCTGGGATGGAGCCGCCTCGTGGGAGGTTGTTGCTTTCAGACGGATGCTGGAATAACCCGGGAGGCGTTTGGGCTTCATCATTACTCCGTTATCAATGAGTGAGTCAGGACAACTACATTTCCCAGCATTCACAGCTTGGAGGCCCGTCCAGTCATGAAGGATCAGTAAACATGAGCAGATAGAACACCGGTGGATGGATGAATAAAAGGGATCTGATTATGAACACATTACCCAGATGCTTTATTCATAACTGTATGAATCATTTATTAAAGACTGATAAAAGTAGGTGAAGAGGACTGATAATGGTGTGAGCAGATGGTCGTGAGGACCTGCTGATGCAAAGCTTTGTAATGAAATCCAAAGTGGGCGGAGCTTCAGCTTGTCTGAATTTGTGCAACAACAAAAAGAAATAAACTGTGATGTTGGTATACATCATCATCATCTGCCTCTTTTGTTGCCCCCCCCCCTCCCAGCTCAATGTGGGGGGGTGAGGATTACCGTGTGTGTGTGTGTGTGGGTGGGTGGGGGGGGGGGGGGGGGCGTGTCCACAACAGCACAGACATATCAGGAGTACATTGCTGTCCCTCCTGGTTTTTGTCTGAGGAGTGAAAAAGAGCTTCGTCCTCTTCATCAATGTTTCATGAGCCTCTGCAGGGCGTCTGTCTCTGCAGCATCGCCTTCCTGCCTCGTCTCCTCCGTCTCCCCCGTCTCCCCCGTCACTCCTCTTAGTGGAATTAAAAGACGCTTCAGCTGCTGCGTGCTGATCAGATTCACACAAAGGAGGGGTGAGAAGCTTCCTGTCCCATCAGAGCAGGAGCTGGTTTTTGCTCCAGCTGCTTTTAAATTTGAAACATCTTAAAATCCTGCTTCAAATAATCCACTAAAATTATATTTTACACTGCAGCTAAAATATTTTTGTTATTTAGAAGGCTCAAAAAACAAAACCGTTTGTGGTGCGTTTATGGTATAAATCTAAAATCTGGAAGCATAAAATCCAGCTGGTGTGTTTGAGTACACCTTACAATCTTAGATATCTGGAATTAATACAGATGAGCCTCAAAACATCAGCTGCTGGGTCGACCATGTTGATGTGATCGGTGAAGGCACGCTGCCGAGCAGCAGTATGAATTCTGACATGTATCCCTGTCCCTGAACTCACCACACCTCACAGTACCAGCCGTCTCGGAGCTTTCATGAACTCGTTTTCCTTCCAGAATCTGAGTTTTCTACTAATGAATGTTACATTTAAATTTGTGTTTGAAATTTTCAGAGTTTGTTTCTGCAAATAAAAATCTTATCTGTTAAACAGACAAACGACAAATGTGCTTCGATAAAATATAAAAATACCAACATTTATTTACACACAGATTGTGTTTGGTTACCATAGTTACAGCTCTGTTAGAATAAATCGTTCATAACTTTTCCCACGTCACACTTCTGTATTTATGTCCACTGAATGAATTATTCTGTTTAATGACCTTTGGTTACTCTCAGATTAACGTTTCTCCTGATGCATTGTGGGGTAGCATAGAGGTCAGTTAGGAGTCACGTCTGAAGTGAGCTGTGACCCGGTTTATCTTCTTAAATGTTTCTGTGTTTACTGTTTTTTTATTTTAAAAAGTTCTTTAATATCGACAATAAAAATGAGTCCAATTAAATCAACGTGAGTTCAGGAGATATTTACCTAATTCATAAATCTGGAAGACATTTTATCTATAAATATCAAAACGGCATCAGATTGGAGAAGATTTAAGTTTGTACTACACGTTCTTGTCTTGTCGGGAATCATTATAACTATATATACTATAACTAAATACCATCTCTAAACACACTTCCATTCTCAAACAAGTTTTCTTATAATTACTGTTACTAATAGTCAAAGCATCCGTCGGTGTGTTCACATGCACATCTAGGTCGATCTAAATTAAGAAACTGGGATCATCCTGGTTTACATGAACGTTAGAAACACGAACCCTCAAAAGAACTTTGCTCCACTCCGGTACAGTAGGTGACAACATGCGCCCGTCCGTGTCGACATTGTCCCGGTTATCTTAAAACAACACCAATGGCAAACAAACTTTGGCGGCAGTAAAACAGGTGAAGTTAAACCAGGATATATACGGCCGAAGGAAAGGACTACAGTGCTGCAGAACAGCTGGTCTGGTACGTTCTGGACTCTTTTGGGCCATTCCCATCTGTACCGGGTCGGCCCGGGCCGGGTAGCGTAGGTTGTTTACATATCTGGGTGGCCTGGTATTTTTCCGGGCCAACCAAGGCTCATTCTCAGCCCTTTTCTCGAGGGGGTCTGCTTCAGGCCGACCAGGGCCAACACACCCACTGCTGACAGCAAATTCACACCTTCCATTAGAGCAAGCCTCTGATTGGTGGGTAGAATCAGCCCACATGGGCTTAAGACAAGGATGTGTGGAATCAACCGGGCCAGGCTGGGGCCGACTGGGGCTACCCGGCCCGGGCCGACCCGGTACAGATGGGAATGGCCCATTAGATGGTGTCACACGTGCTACTTTGAGGTGACGATATTATCAGAAGACCACTTCTGCGCTCTTGGGTTAGGGTTAGGCAGTTACGAGTATCAGCTTGACGGAGCCGTTTACATGCAGATGAAGTCCATTTCCGACCGCATTATCTGGGTGCTTTAGAACCTGGTCACCTTCAGACAGACTGAAGTGTTTACATGCATTTATAAACAGACAGTCCATTTAGGGCGACAGTTCGGTTTTCTGATGCACATGTGACAGTGTGAGCGTCCTGTCACTGACCCGAGTGATCATGCACCCTGGCTACTTGGCCAAGAGGATGTCCCTTTGGCTGGCTGGTTGGACGCTCACACTGTCACACACAGGGAAACACTATGAATGTTTTTGTGGTGGGAGAGTTGTTCCAGTGTGTCCAGCCGAAGTCTGTGTGAACCTGGGGGGTATACCAAGCAGCATGCTCAGAACATCGGGGCTATCCTGACAAATCCCTGCTTGACACAGCACACCGGTTCATTGAAGGATTCAATGTTACCACCAATGATGCGCAGCTGATTTCAATCCTCTCTAAGTCAAGCGAGTCTCACGCGTCCATAGGCAGCCCCTCGATGCTAGATAAA